GTTCTTGAGTTTATCAAAGGCTCATCTTGACATACATTTTCACGCACAACTAGAAAGCATTACAATATGTTGTGCTCTGCTAACAGAGTTGATGTGAGATATATAAATAAAAACCAGTGTGCTGGACTGTAACTGCTGTGCAAGTGTTCAGAATGGTAAGATTGCGATCATTGTATGAAAAATGAAATGTTTTTTCTTTCAAATTTACATTTGCATTTTGTCTGACAAAGGTTTTTTTTTTTTTACAACTTATTATAACCCTTGTGAATAGTGTCTTTTCTTCCACCCTCAGGTTGTAATAACTTCATAACAAAATGCAAGAAAAAAAAGGTTCAAAATAGCAATACAATGGTTTCCTGTGATTTCTCAAATTATTCGGATTTTATTTATTTATTTTTGTAAGATTTTGCTGCAAGCTTTCTGCAGCCTTGAGGGCAGAAGGATTCTGTCAAAATGCTGTGAAAAGTTATTATAATGAAGATGTAGAAGCAGTGAAAGCCACGGGTGATTGTTGTCTAAGACCTCTTTTTCATGTGCTGTTGATTGTGGACTCTGAAGTACTGGTCTTTTATTTTACAGGAACATGAAGACACTCTTTCCCTGCTTCGCTCTGGGTAAGTGTTTCCTTCAGAGTTTTTTTCTGCTTTAGATTTTATTTTATTTTTTTTATGGGAGTTGGTGTTTTATAAACTGAGTTTTCAGATGCAATCTTGGTGTTTTTAACTGAGTGGACAAATCAGCCCGAGGAGTTTAAACTATAAGAAATGGTTTGGAAAACAAATTGTTGCTGTAGATTATGTCTACACAACAACTTCTACGCCCAGTCGTATCATCACTTTCTCATTAAGCTTTTCTTACTAAAATTAAAATATAAGGACATCATCGGTACAGTAAACATATTTAATGTTACATCATTTTAAAATGTTAAAGTTTTCAATGTTAACAAGATTTTTTGGAAAATACAGCTCATAAAAAAGAAAACAATTCAAAAACACATTTTGTCAAAGAGAAAATGTTTTTAAATGTCTTACATTACATCATAAATATGCTTCTGTATTGAGCAGAAAGCATGGTGAACAGAACTAAACTTCTTCTTTACTCTGTACATTTAATGAAATCCTTTTATAAGTAAAAATGACACTGAATGCTGATGTAAATTTGCAGCCTTGTTGTTCCTCTTCACATTCAGTCTGTGAATGTGTGACTTTGAGTAATTGTCACTTTTCATGTGAACTTGACCTCTCACAAGCTTTCTTGCTCAAAATATCATACACAGCACCCCCTTCAGCTTGTCATGACCTTGAACTGTTTGAACCGTGTAAGTTCACTGGACAAAAATGAGCGTGGTCTGCTTCTGTAAGTCAGTGTAAACGCTGACTATAAATTTATACAAACTAGTACCAAGGCTGCAGAACATTGTCTGTTTTTAATTTATTTTTAAACACAGATGACACCCCTGAAAAGACCCGATGTTTGGAAATGACATGTAAATGTGCCACACAGAATGACCTTTGACCTCTGTGTGTGTAGATCTTTGACAACTGGCTGACCTATAATCTTTTCCTAAATGATTTGACAATAGAGATACGTATTGATCTTGTTGCTTCTCAGGCAAAATGATTAAGAGTCTGCTGCACAGCCCAAGTCTTCTTCGACTAAACTCCCACTGTTGTCCTTATTTTGAAGTTACAAAATGTAGTTGTGAATCTTTTACACTACATAGTATACTCAAGAAGCTGATGTATTATTAGTTTACTCCTGTTCCTTTTATGTGAAGAGATATAAACGACAGCTTATAGGGCCACTTTTCACATGAGAGGAAATAAAAACAGAGGAGCAAATCTCTGCCAAAAAAAAAAAAACTTGGAAATTTTTAGATTCATTTCAGAAAATTTAAAGAAAAACAAAACTCTCCAAGCTCCAAAAAAAGGAAAATTTGAAAAAAAAAAAAAAAAAGGTTTCTGAGATTGTATTCAGAAATTTTTGAGAAAAAAATCTCTTGTGTACAAAAGTGGTAAATTTGCAAGAAAAAACTCTAAAATTTCCACGATTAAAGGCATAAATTTTCCATACTGAAGAAGAATATTTCCTGACATTGTAAAGTCAGACATTTTCAAGAAAAAATATTAAATTTTATGAGGAAAAAAATCTCTGAAGTTTTCACAAATGGCTAAATGGCAGAGCTACAGCTGTTTTCAACTTGAGCCTCTTTAATCTGCTCCGTGTATCAAACCTGGACTAGATTAGTATACACTAATCATAGAATATTTAAAATCAAGTGTGATTTGTGAAACACATTTAATTTGTGAGACTTCAATTTAGGCCAATTTCAGCACTTTTTATGCATTTTATGAACAAACTGAGTATGATTGAGAGGTGAGAGAATTAGAGTGACTAAAGCAATGGGAATGATCATGGAGCCTATACAGAAAAAGAGAAAATAATTTCTAAATTCTATGCAGCCACACACTATCACCATCAATTTGCCAAACTTGTGGTGACACATCCTGCTTTGGTAACCAGATATTCCAAAGTAAAAGCCTATAAWTCATTTGAAAACAATTTTTCAGTTAAGCACTTTGTGATGTTCGTGTCTGCAAAAGGTGCTATGTAAATAAAGTTCACTTACTTATTGCTTCAGTCACTCAAATTCTCTTACCTCTGGTCCTGCTGGTCATGTGTTTGAAGGTAAAACAAAGTGACTGACACTGAAGTGAATTTATCATTATAGAACCTATATTTTTCAAAATTCTTAGCCAGACAGTACAGTGATTTGAAAAAGTGTTTATTACTCTTGTTAAACTTWCTGTTTCATTTCTTCATGTCCATGTCTTTACTCATTCATGAGTTTTGGTGGATCACCCTTACWTGGCTTTAGCAAGGCACTGTGTACCTGCTTGCATGTCACTTGCCTGACAACTACAAAAAGAAGTGATTACAAAAAGAGTTTGCAAATAATGGGGGGGAGGGGGGCAATCAAAAGACAAACACAGATAATCACTTTTTAAAAACATTTAAGATAGCATTATTTGATTGAAATAAAGCTCTTACTGTAGAGTTTTGTTGATCTATRCATCTAAAATCTACAAACTCATTCAAGGAGCTTTTAGCTCTCCYTAATGTGCCTGGGCGGCTGCTCTCTTCTGGATTCACCCAGAAACAATTTGCCAACTCGCACATCTGGCCAGACAGAAGAACAGAGAAAACACGAGGAAATTCTCCTGCTGACCACTAGTTTCCCCGTCTTGCATAATGAAACCATCACTCTCCCCTTCTCTGTTGGATTCTTTCGAAGTGACTGGTGGTGGAGCAACATCTGGAATGAGCAGCAGTTTTCGTTTCTTGTGTTTTTTGGGTGGAGATTTAGGCCCCTGATAATCCGTCTCCCTTCTCATTAAAGGGGCTGAATAAACACAGGCCTCTTCCAGTTGTTCCTATGAATTTCCTTACCAGGCGTCAGGAGACCAAAGTGGGGGCTACTGGATCAAAGCTGCCGGCAGCCCTGTGTGCGCAGAGAGCGAGAGTGCGTTCCGGGGTTGGGCCCATTACCTTTCTCCCTGGGAACCCTGGAGACTCCTAGGTCACTAGCTGTCAGCTCTTTGGCTCAAACCCCACAGAGGAAGGGGAGAAAGTGTAGAAGGAAAGGAAAAAGCTAAAGAGAAACAACAAAAAACCCACTAGTAAAATAGCAGGTTTTGAGGTTACCCTATAGGTGCTTTGTTCTGCAGGAGGTCATTGTTGCCCTCAGTGTGATGTTTCAGATGAACTTTAAAACTAAATTGTTTATTTTATTGTACTTTATTTAATTATTTTTAAAGATACATTAGTACAAAAAAATTAGACAGAATCTCTCACCTTTACCTCATGAATAATAGCTGCCTTGTGTCTTCAAAGGGGACAAGTCAAGGACAAAAACCACATTGTGCAGATACAGAAAATGTCATAAGTGGGCTGTTTCATTTTTGAATCGTTTCTCCTATTATGCATTTAGTTAGTTAGATGATTTTTAAAAGTTATGCAGTCAAAATGTAATTTGAAACCTTAGAAAAACTCTACTCACATTGTCAAACGCACGGTGCAAGTTCAGGTGTGCCCCTTTAATACGTTGAACATATTGCAAGGCTAATCTTCTAATTTTCTGCACATTCTGACAATCAACTTAAAAATATATTGGTTTGCTAGAAAAGTTTTTAGTGTAACCTATTAAACAAATTAGCGGCTTTAGTGGAAAAATCCGCATGTAAAAATGATTGTTACTCACATAATCAGAATGATGATAAAAAATGTTCAAACTGCATCCCCTTTCTCCAAAGAAAGAAAAGATCACCGGTATTAAACGGTCAATGTAATTAACTTGCCTGGCTACTAGCTGGCTGCAGCTGCGGCTGGAAATAGCCACAGTGTTTGTGTTTGTATATGTGCACTCTGTGTGTATGTGTACAAATGGCCCTGTGGTCGTCATCAGGCCCCCATCAACCCCTCCATTAGTTACTGAGCTGCTGGTCTGTGTTAGCCTACCTGCGCTGAATACAGATTAGGGTGGGAGCATGGACAGCAAGCGCAATGAAGACAAACATGCATGGAAGCGCTCGCAAAAGATAACATCAACATATTATCTGGTATGACACACGCTGACATATTTTGATACACATAATTATACAGACTGGATTTTTCAGATCTAAGTGACKGAAATGTTGCTTCATATGCATAAAATAATGGCRAAATCATTCAATTGCTTCAGTTTACTCTCTCCGGCTGATAAAAAGCATACGTGTATGATTAGTGCCCGTCATTGAACAAACACCAGCRCTTGTAGAGAGCACTTCATCAGATGCGGGCAGATCATAGCTTACACATTCTGAAATAATGTCACACACGGTAGAGTACACACACTGGCAGCTCTGCACAAAGGCAAACATGGCTGCACGCTTCTTTTTCTTCTCCTCCTGGTGTCCCAGGCTCTCGGGCTGAGACAAGAAATCTGCCGGCAGTCATTACACGGGGCCGAGCGTTCGAGCAAACACACAGCCAGCTTGCCTGCTGATGATGTTTTTACGTGTGCCACCTCGGCTGGAAACATCCTTGAAAGATTGTACGAATGCACAAGCATGCTTTAGGTACTATTTTAAATAGGATGAATATTAATCAGCCATTTTGAAACAAAAAAGGAAGATGTCAGTTATTTTAAATGCTGTGGGCTGGAAAGTCAAATATTTTTCCTCATTTGAGAAAGAAAAAAACAAAATGTCTATTCTGGTTGAAATTAAGGCCGAAGAGCAGGTTTAAGGTTTGGAGTTCATGCAGGACCTGCACGGCTTGACGACTGGGTGGGGGTGTGTGGGGGGTGGGGGGACGAGAGGCCATGCGAAGGCTTCTGTGTGTCTCTCTCTGGCAGTGCAATGGGACTCTTGGGAGACCTGGGTCAGGAGGCCTCTCCCCGGCCCCCACCTCCAGCCCCCACCTCGCATTACGGTGCCATTTAAAGCCACCCAGCATCTATTTCCTCCAATAAAAACTAATAACCTTTTCTGTTGGAAATCACGGCAGCTCTTGAGTGCTRGAGCAGAGACCTGACTGGATGGCATGTAATTGTGGTCCAGTAGTCTCTCTTTGG